CTTTGTGGGAAAGAGATCGTTTTAGAAACGATTACAAGCAAATGTCAATCTGCAGCTGCTCTTAGCCAGAAAATACCTGGTCAAATACCAACAGGACTTAGTCCTCATGACATACTTGGCATAGTCGGGCTTCTTGGAAATGTTGGTAACATTCAGCTTAGCAGGTTGACGCCCGTACCTTCCCATTTGTTATCCCTATAGAAGACAATTCCCATTAATTTAAACTGTAATTCCTTTACGGCGCAGGATGTTGGCACTGTATCTCGGCGACCATCTAATGTGTGCTATAGTGTGCAAAAATTATTCGACTGCTGAAACACTTGAGGCTAATCAAATAAACCATGGAAAATATCTTGGGGGAGGTCTCTATACAGTGTCTCTTGATTATTTTCGGTAAGTGGGACACAATTTGTTCGCACTCATTTCACTTCTATTGTTCATTGAACGTATTAAGATTCATGTGTTATGATATTAAAGTTCAAAAGAGCATTGTGTGTACAAAATGAAGTTCCCTTTTTACTGTTTTAAAATGCCTATCTACTTGCAGTCCATTCAACTCAGCACCTAAAGCTGATCCTCAAGAACAGCTAGCCTTGCGGCTGCCAAGAATGCAAAACGGTGCGACACCACCGGGCTTTCTAGGCTTTGCAGTCAATATGATCAACATTGATGCAGCATTTTCACATTGGAAGACGACAAGCGGACATGGTCTCAGAGAGACCTTATTTTATGGTATCTTTGGCGAGCTTCAAGTTTATTCTCACAAGTCACTGATGATGGGAGCTCGAGCATTTATTAAAAATGGAGCCGTGTCTTTGGACGGAGGAATAATTAAAGGAAATGGCCTTCTTGGTTTCGGGGACTGGTACATGCTTCTCAAACTGGGTAACTCTTTGCACTTGTGTTATTAACTATTGCATGCTTACCGAGTACTTTTGAATTCAGGGAACCCGAAGTAATATTCCCGGTTCTAAAGAACACGGACATCACACAGCATCTAGAGATCGCTAAGTTAAGGGAGGAGAGGGAGACGATCAAAGGATCCTTAGAAATGGCAGCAACGAGGTTCTACCAGGTACGCGAAGAATACTTAAAATGTCGCGATCAATCGTTGTTGTCGGAGTGATGGTTAAATATTACTGAAGGTTTTGTTACACTGCAAGAACATGTTTTGTATATAAGTGTTGTGCTCATGTCATATTATGAATTGAATCTTGCAAGACGAAGTGTTTTTTTTGCAAAATATGTGCTTAGTATTTATTACCTTTGTTATAGAAGGATGAAATATGATCAAGATACGCTCTTATTTTCTCTCTCTTTTTTTCTTAGATATTGATTAAGATTTGCACCAAAAATTAGGATGAAAAAGCTATGTGACATTATTTTGCTTGCCTTCCTTGTATTGTTTTATTTTATTTAACTTACCTACTTGAAGAAGTATTTTTATTTCTTTCAAATTCTAGATTAGCTTATTATAATAAATAATGGGTTAAATTCTAACTAATGAGTTTCATTCGAATTTCTTCCAAATTTATACTCCCTTCCTCCCATATATTTTGGGTGTGTTACAGTAGATACGAGAATTTAGGTAAAATTAAGATAATAAATAGTTTAATTAAGATTAAAAAAATTATAAAATTTAAAAGTGATTCATATTTAAAAGGAAATGATATGTGGAAAGACGAAAATAGAAAATATGGATAAATTATGTGGGACGGAGGGAGCAGTAATTAATGAGAATTCAAGCTTTAATATATTTTCTTCAGTCCCAAATCCTTTCTTGCTTTTTTAATCTAAAATATATAGAATTTTATTTTTGCAATTGCGCCTTATTTATGTGAGAATAATTTGAAAAAACTTAATAACGATTGTAGTTTGAAATTGATATAAAATGAAATGTTAAATTTGAATTTTATTTAAATAATAGTATATTAATTTGATATTTTTGTGAAAAAAAAAATAGTATATTCTTATTTAAAATAGTAAAAAAACAAATCCTATAATCTAATAATTTAAATTACAAATTAAATAACTAAAATATCTATCACCTTTAAATCTAGGTGGTATTATATAAACAATTTGGATTTGTATAAAAGAGATTGAAGATACAGTAGCCAAAATTGTCAACAATATCAGAGTTAGAAGTCAACAATAAAATCGAAAATGAGACATATTCACAAAGGGTGTCGAAAATTGGACTTGTTCACGACGGAGTTAAAGTTGTAAATATAATTATGTTTGGTACAAACTCAAGTCTCACATTGAATGTTGAAAAAAAAAATTCATACCTTATAAGTTGCAACCCAACTCCATTGGTCTCGATACAAAAATAAAAAATAAAATGCTGAACATATGCTTTATCGAAATTTAGACGATTTCAAAATTGATTCATACAGAGAAACCAATCACATATGCGGCACCGATTTTAATATAGGGTATATTTATTATCTTTTATCATAAAATAAAAAATAAAAAATATATATAGTAAAAAATTGTATGTTTTATTATTATTTTTTTTTTTACTAAAGAGGAAAATGAGTATTTTTTAATGACAATCAGAAAAAGGTAGAGCCGGCAAAAACTGACCCGACACGATCCGATACGAAATAATTGGATTTGAGTCAAAGATTTCAACCCGATTATGTATACGGGTTGACACGAACCCGTACTGATAATAAACGGATTAACACGAACCCCACATGATAATAAACATGTCAAGTTAGGATTGAGTAATTTAACCCGATACGAACTCGACCCGAATCGATCCATTGCCGGCTCTATAAAAAGAAAAACAAGTCTTATAGCGTCCACTTGTGTGTATTGGGCCTGAAATTCTATAATAAGGCTCACTTAATTTATAATGGGTTTGGTATTGCATTTTAAGCTCAATTATGTCATTTTAGCTGATGTTTGGGCCCATTGTTGAACTACTTTTTGGGCCTTTGATAAATAACCTACCAATATTGGGACTTGGTGGACTATGATGGGCCTATGTAGTTTTGACTTATAATTTTATTTGGGTTGGGCCTACTATCAACTAGAGTCAGCAATTTCGAAACTAAGCAGAGTGATGATGTCCTTTTAGTTTGTTTATATCAAACTTTACATTTTCTTTTTTAAATAATAATAATAATAATAATAATTTTCAATTAGATATCAAAATATTTTTAATTTTATTTTTTTATATTATTTTTAAGAGAAAAATAGATGTTATATATTTTATTACGTTATATATAATACTAATTTACCTTAATTCACGTAAAAAGTCAAATAAAAAATTTATTAGTGGACGGATGAGGAGCATATTTTTCTAAAACTCTCGTATAATTTAATGTTCTCTTATATCAAACAAATAATTCCGCAAGTTAATTACATGAATATGCAACAATTGAGGTGTTGATTTGGTCAAGTTGATATTGTATTGATTACATTAAATTAAGACACTAACTTGAAATAATTAATATTTATTCAGAGGAAAAATGACATATGTTGTTTTATATTTTGTATATTGTGTTAAAATCACGATATATATTATGCACGTAAAAAATAAGTGCTATATATTATAGTATTAAATTATGCCTATGTACTACTTTCTTTATAATTATGTATTTATTAAATCAAATCAACACTAATCAAGTAAAAATAAACAAATAAGTAGAACAAAGGAGAATACGATCATGAACTGCTATGGTTATAATTTACGATTCTCACAACACAAACTTATGAGGACTACCATAGGCGGGTGGCGCAGGAATAAGGATTTATCAACACTAGGTCTTAAGCTTTTGTTCATATAGATATTTTTATTTTTTTTATGTTTTCAATTTTTTTTTGAAAATCATAGAAAATAAATACTTGATATAATATTTTATGGGAATATGTTGGTGCAAAACTCGCCTTTTGAAAGAAGTTCAACAACAAAGTAGTGCGGGCTCAGCCCAAAACGAACAATATCACAGAGGTATCGAGTTGATCCAATCAATTACAATAGAAAAAATATATGTTTTATGTATTTTTTTTTTTCAAATAACTATTATTGACAAACAAAATTTAATTCATTTGTATCATACTCGGACCGAACTTTCCAACCGTACTCATTGTTGTCGGCTCTGTTGCCGACATTACATATCTTTTGGATTTTGGGCTATTGGCCAACTTTTTGGTTATTGAGCTTTGCCCATACAATCTAACTTATTACAACCAAGGGCGCAGGTGACGTGGAGGCGTCAGAGGTTGAACTCGTGATCCACGAGACTATCTCTTATGGGACAACAATACATTTTTTTTTTTTTTTATTTTGATGATTTAGGAACCTGCAGTCGCTACCCGAAAGTGCGCACTGGATAAACCCCAACCGAACCTAATACCCTACAAGCTAGGTCTGAAAGGTAAGTCACACTAGGTGAACCATGTGTGTGACAAGTGACATGAGACGTAATAGTTTAAAGACAACACATCATATCTTTTTATTACATATATTGTGTGTAATAAACACATGCTATTTGTTCATAATTACATATATAATATATTCATAACTGTTGTGTGTTATATAACATTATAGTATTTATTGTTAGTTTATATACTATATTTTGTATTATATTAATATATATACATACAGTTTGTTGTTTGTAATAGTATTGACAATACACTATGTGTTTTGTTGTACTGCTGAATTTTAAATTAAAAAAAAAAAAGTTTGTTACCCAATTAAGCAAGAATTGGGCGGGCAGTGGCCAAATAAAAATTAAATCCTTAAAAGCACAAACTCTGCTTTTATTTTTATTTTTGATAATATGTGATATGTTATGTCAAATGTCAATATAATGATTCATTCGGTTGTTACTGAAATGGATATGGATATGAATATCAATTGAAAGAATGGATTGAGGAATAAATTTTAAAATTAATTAATTAATTAATTCAGATTCAGATTCCGTTCAAGACGACGTCGAATCAGTACCATATGTCTGAGCCAGAGCGGGATTTCCGGCTGGATTCAACCACCTCGTACACACGAAACTCGACTCTCGGTCTCATCGCCCCCTCTCCAGTGCCAATTCCTGCAGTTCCCTGCAGTTACACTAAGACTCGCGCTTTAACAAAAACCTAGCCAACTGTAGAGAACTGCAGGCAGCCCCACAGCACAGGGCGCGCTCAAAAGCTCTTCAATAGTCGCGAGTCAAGAATGGACAAACTCGCTCGCCTTTGGGCTGCTGACGACACTCGACGACAAGGCGATGCACGTAATCTCCGTTTTCAGCGTCTCGGAATACGTGTACAAACCATGGAGCGCTACAATGGCAGTAACCGCATCATTGCTGCTGACAGGTAGTAAGTGGAATGCAATTAATTCTGCACCGACGATTATGTGGTAATGGTGTTGGTATAGCTGTTGCGCCTCGATCCTGAATTGAATTAAGCGCCTCTTTTTCTTTTTTTGGCTTCCAAAATTTTTTGTTGCTTTAAATTGGCGTAGATTTTGCCTTTCGCAGCTAGGGTTAGGGCTAGGGATTCGGGTTCGGCCTTTTATTTCATTTTTTAGTTCTCGCTAAGAATTTCGTCGAATTGGGGGAGAATGGCGAGCGGCGGCGGCGGCGATGAGGGGTTGAGGTGCGCTCAACTTAGCGCCTGCGGAATGTGGAGATGCAATTTGTTTGCGGTGAGTGGAGGAACGCTTTGTGAGAAGCACAACTCGTCAGTGCAGAGACATGGGGAGAAGAGGAAGTTGCAGAAACTAGGGATTGGTGAAAATGGCGCCGGGAGTTCTTCTCAGGGCAGTGATCGGAAGAGGAAGCGAGATGACGATGGCAGCGACAGTGAATTTGAGGTTTTGGGGAAGAAGAGTGGGAGAGGGAAGGGTTTGAAGAAAAGGGGGAGGAAGAAGAAGAAGATTTTGCGGATCAGTGATAGAGTAGTTAGGAAGGGTGAGAAGGGAAGGGGTAAGGGTTTGAAGAACAAGAAGGAACTCAGTTTGGGCTATGAAGTTCCAGCGAGTGGGGAGGTTTTCAATGGTGAGGAATTAGGTATCCTTGGTGCAATTGAGGCAATGGAGTCGGCATCGAATGGCTGTAGCTTTCCAGCTTATCAAGCCAGAGTCTTGTACAATAGTTATGTTGGTGGAAGTTGGGTAGGGGTGTTTGAGGATTTCAGAGGGTTAGGAGGTGAAGGGATTGAAGATGGGAGGATGGGCGATGGCGATCAAGGAGCTTCGGTGCTAATATCTGGAAATGTTGCTGAATTGGGAGGGGATGTTGCGGCAGCCATGGCGGACGAGGCTGGAAAGGGCAAGGCTTTACAGCTTGGTGCTTTTAGTGGTGATGGTGTTTTTCATACTCCTGTTAAAACTGTTGGTCGTCGTGGACGGCCGAAGGGTTCCAAGAACAAGAAGAAGAAAGTGACTGATGGCGGCATTGATGAAGCTTCTTGTTCCATTCCTGTCAAAAGTTCTGGTGGCCGTGGACGGCCAAAGGGCTCCAAGAACAAGAAGAAGAAAGCAATCGTGTTGGGAGAAAAGACTGATGGCATCATTGGTAGTGAAGTTTCTTGTGATACCACTGTCAAAAGTTCCGGTGGCCGTGGACGACCAAAGGGCTCAAAGAACAAGAAAAGGAAGATAGATGAGATTATCAAAATGCCTACTGAGGGGATGGCCGGTGCTCTTTCTGCCATCAATAGGAATGGCGATGAGGCTGCAGTTCAGATGGTTGGTCCAGAGGATTCCTGGACTACTACTACTACTACTACTACTACTGCTTTGGATGATAGTAATCGAGATGGATCTGCAATTTTAGCGTCACAGGAAACGGGAAGGAATGTTGCCAGCAATGATAATACAGCCCTTGCTATAAGAAGTGGCAGAGGAAGGCAAAAAGGGTGGTCAAAAAATAGAAGTTCAACGACACCAGAAGTTGATCAAGGTGGACGTGCTGGATTTATATCTAGAATCAATGTAGGAGATGTGTCTGATGAGGAGGAGGAGGACAGCCCACCTTCGGATTCTGACGAAGACTATGAATCTGCATGCATGGGAACAAAGATACGTAATGGCAGTCTCAGAAAGAGAAAGTCATCCGCCTTGGGAATGTCGGTGAGGTTCTTTTTCTTTAATGCCTGCCACGTGCTTATGCTTTATTAGTTATTCTCGTGAGTTAAGTAGTTAACAATAAAAAGACAAGTTTTAGTTCTTGACAGGAACGGTAACATAAAAGATTTTAGTTATCCTAAATTGGATGGTCGTTGCGGAGTGTAGATATGATTGCTCTGATCAATTAAGGACATAATACAAAGAACTTTGATACGTGTTCAACATATGACCCCCATTCTGATTTTTTGCGCCGACAAAGAATATTACCTATAAATGCTGTTTACATAGATCATTTTTTTAGTAGCATTGGTTGTGGTTTTATTGGTTTCCTTTTAATAAGATGTGTACTAGGATCAGCTCTTTACATTAATATCTCGATCGGTTTCTCGCTAATTAATGATTGCTATTTATTCCAGAGTGCCATCTTAGATCGAGTGTGGGTCCTAGCATACCCGTTGTAGAACATGATCATATAATTATTTACAAAATTTTAATTTCCATTGGTTTGGAGTAGTAACTTGGATTTCCTTGCCACGTGTGTGTGCCCGTATTGGATATTGTTCTGTTTACGATATTATTGGTTCTTCAGTGCAGTTTGGTAGTAATGATGCCTATTGGCTATCTCTTCCAATTATTCTCGTAAAAGGAAATTATTGATCACGGCAGTTGTTGGTTAATTTTATGGAATTAACTGTGATAGTGTCCATGGAGCTTTGGATTTTATAATTTATGGCTGTAATATGTGCAACTTTGCTTTCTCCTATTGGTAATTGTTAAAAAGAATGCTATGACAAGATCTCTATAAGAAGATTTCTGCCATTATTATTATTATTATTTTTGTTCTTTATTTAACATAGTTATAATATATTAGACCATTGTTTAAGGATAATCGATGATTGAGGAAAGAAAAATATTTTTGCTCTGTATAGTTGTGTTCTCTTGGTAACTGTACTTGCCCAAAGTAATAAGTATTATTCAATATTTTCGTCTATAATGTATACTTTGATAACCTTCAGCTTCTGTGGTATTGTATTATTACCAACAATTCATTTTTAATGGCACTTCCCTTTATGCATTATTTTTCAGGACGATAGCTCACAAAAGGAGCAGCGCAGATTGGTGTCAACTTGCCATCAATGCCTGAGGAGGGATAGAGATTTTATTGTTCTGTGTACAAATTGCCGCAAGAAACGTTACTGCAATGACTGCATTGCTAAGTGGTAATGAAGATTATGGCTGCCTTGATCTCCATTTTCGTTGCAGCAAATATATGCATAATAATAGATCGCTGAGCTTCCACATAAATATAAGATCTCATTGTTGTTGGGTGCTTATTATTCTACATACATCGAAGTTTTTTTGCTGATGCTGCTGCAGTGTGATATAATTCATGTGTAGATTTTTATACACTTACACTTGCAAACCTTGCGAAATCTTAGGTATCCCAAGCAGTCGAAAGAAGAACTCGAACAAAAGTGCCCGTTTTGCTGTGGGAATTGCAATTGCAGAGCTTGCCTTCAAGCAGTAGTACCCGTAAAGGTTTGTAGCAGCCTCAATGTTTTTCCTAATTTCCGGTGCTTATTTATTTCTATTGCTCTTCACAATCTCGTTCATTTAGGGTTACCGGAAAGAAGTTGACGAGAACATCAAGCTGCAACGATATTCGTATATGCTGCACTACATTCTGCCACTCCTGAGGCAAATACAGCTCGAGCAGAGAACTGAACTAGATGCCGAGGCGGTCATTCGAGGTATTGTACACAATATTAAATAAAGTGTTTTGCGCCGTGGCTTCCTTTAATGCTCGTGATGGTTAATATAATTCTATGCTCTTTCAATAATTAAGGTGTTCAAGTAAGGCAAGAAGATATACCGTTAGCAATCTTCGAAGAAGATGATCGAGTCTACTGGTATATTCTGGCTATCTTTTTCGGTTGATTTTCTATCATTTATGGTCTAAATAAAACACGCCAAGATTCTTATATTGTCGGGCCTGGTGCATTTTATGTCTGCCGACTATTTTATGTCTGCTTCTTGTTTACAGCGATAACTGCAAGACATCTATTGTCAATTTCGTCCGAAGCTGCCCCAACCGTGAATGCTCCTACGACATGTGTCTCGACTGTTGTCAGGAACTCAGACAAGGTCTTAAACCAGGAGGTACCGAGGTTGCTTCCTCCGATGAGCATTTAGATAAATGGGAAGCTAGGATTGATGGGAACATACCGTGTCCTCCGAAACACCTCGGGGGCTGCGGAACGGGAAATTTAGTACTGAGACGGATACTCGATCCTTATTGCGTGGAGAGATTAGTTACGGCTGCGGATGATTTCATTTCTCATTTTCAATTATCGGATATGGGCTTCTCTCAACAATGCCTTCGGTGTTTCCCTCCCCATACGGAAAATGATTTTTCCAAAGTAAGACGAGCAGCTTTCCGGGATTCAAGTTGGGATAACTTTTTGTACTGTCCAAATGCCGTGGAACTCAAAGATACTGAGCTCGAACATTTCCAAATGCACTGGCGGAGAGGCGAACCCGTCATAGTTCGCGCTGCACATGAAAAGGCTTCCGGTCTTAGCTGGGAGCCGACGGTAATGTTGAGAGCTTTCCGGAACGCCAGTAAGAAATTGAAGCAAGGCGATTTCACGGTGAAGGCTATCGATTGCTTGGATTGGTGCGAGGTATTTATGGTTGTTTTCTTCGGTTTCTTCGATAGCATTTATGACAGGGCTTCGTGTAATATATTGTACATTTTACAGGTTGAGATTACTATTAACAAGTTCTTCAAGGGCTACTTAGAAGGGCGCAAGCATCGCAGCGGTTGGCCCGAGATGTTGAAATTGAAGGATTGGCCTCCGGCAAATCATTTCGAAGAATGTCTGCCGAGGCATAATTCTGAATTCATGGCGATGCTTCCGTTTGGCGACTATACTCATCCGAGATCTGGTCTCATGAATCTTGCTACGAAGCTTCCCGACTGGGCGTTGAAGCCGGACTTGGGACCCAAAACCTATATCGCCTACGGATACCCGGAAGAACTCGGCAAAGGCGACTCCATTGCTAAGCTCCACTGTGACGTTTCTGATGCTGTATGTAGCCATAGAATTTGCTCTTTGAATACGTTTTATGGCTAAATAACATCGTAATGCTATGATATTTGCGTTTGTTCAGGTGAACATATTGACGCAAAAGACTGAGGTGCCGACTCCCCAGTGGCAGAAGAAAATAATTGACAAGCTGAGGACGGAACTTCAGCCCGAAGAATCGAAAAGTGTCGTAGAAGAGAGACAAGAAGCAGTGACCAAAGAGCCAAAGAGGGTCTCTGAAGAGCGACACGAAGCAGCGACCGAAGAGTCGAAAACGGTCTCCGAAGAGCGACAGAAAGCAGTGACCGAAGAGGCGAACAAGGTCTCTGAAGAGGGACAGGAAACGACGGCGACAACTGCAAGCGGAAATGTATCAACCGGCTGGCCGATGCAGAACGATAATAATGCCTTTGAAAACTACAGTTTCCAATGGAACAACGAGTCGAACTCGTGGCCGTTGGAAAGCTTAATCGAAGGAAACGAGTTTATTCTCGATAGCATTAGGCCGGTGCTGCCGCAGACGTGGTCGGACATCGGGATGGAGTCACTGCCGGGTAAGTTCATCGAGATGGATTACCCTCCGGAAAGCAAGCCTGCCAATCTTCCCGTCGTCGAATCTGATGCGGCGTCGGGTGCTGCTCTGTGGGACATCTTCCGCCGGGAGGACGTGCCGAAACTGTCGGAATACCTGCTGAAACACAAGAAAGAGTTTCGGCATTATAACAACTCGTCGGTCGAATCTGTGAGTGCCGATTTTAATTTTATCTTTCACTCTCTAGACCGTATACTAACTCGACTCTTGCGCTTTGCTTTAGGTTACGCACCCGATCCACGACCAGATATTTTATTTGGACGAGAAGCACAAGAAGCAGTTGAAGGAGGAATACGGTACGAACTATTTCTTCACAAATTATGCACACAGTCGTATAAAACGACGTGTTACTAACGAATATTTTGTTTGCGTATTAGATATTGAGCCTTGGACGTTCCAACAGCATCTCGGCGAGGCTGTGTTCATTCCCGCAGGCTGTCCTCATCAAGTGAGGAACCAACAGGTGAGTTGTTGCGCAGTCATTTTCAAAATTATCGACCGTAATTTTTGGAATCGGAAGCTTATTGTTGTCGTCCACTTCTATTGCCAGTCCTGCACGAAGGTTGCTCTCGATTTTGTGTCCCCCGACAACATTCAGGAGTGCATTCGACTGACGAAGGAGTTTCGGCTGCTCCCTCAGAACCACCGGTCAAAGCAGGACATTTTGGAGGTACTTACGGCTAGAACTATTAAACGAATCGAATAACTCGTGAGCCAAGCTCGACTCGATTCATTTATAGAATACACGAGCCAAGCTAAAAAGTTATTATTTCTATAAACGAGCTTGAACTACTATTTTAGCTCAAATTCTTAATGAGTCGAACCGAGCTTGTACTGCTAACAAGTTCGAGGCGAACTCGAACAACAGATACTCGAGGTTGCTCGGCTGGTTTAACAACTCTAATTACGGTGTATCTACTCGTTTATTTCTGTTTGAATACGCGATCTTAGCCTTACGTTTCGATCGGTATACAGGTGAAAAAACTCGCGGTGTACGCCGCAATTTCAGCAACCGAAGATGCCAAGAAATTGATGTCGAAATCAAGGTGAGATCTTTATACTTAAACTAATGAATGTAATCTTTTCTACTTGTAATTAATGTTTCTTTTTTATCTTCTTACAGCTCTTCAGCTCCATCGAGTGGTCGGGATTTGGTCGACGATGCAGAATGGCGCCATCCACAGCAGTCGGGCGCCATCGAGAAAGCTGCCGGCGGTGAGTTTGTATTTAATGTTTAGGATTGATTGATCAAATTGCTTGTGTACTTTGTTGTAGATCAAAGCTTCTGTGTTTAGTTGTCAGAACAGATGGATATTGATAGGAAAGATGGAATAAATACCAAAATGAAGCGCGACTATAGGGTTCTGTTATTTGTCGAATTAGGAGCATATCTTTTATAACTGTTTCTTGTTATGGATCGCCGAGGCTTTTCGATCTCTACATTACAGGTTGTTTCTGGTTACGGAGCATCCTTCGCCGATGTGATTGGCGTAAAAATTATCTTTGAATATGGCTGTGGTTAAAGTGCTGATAGATTGGGATTGGGATTGTTTTGGGTCGTGATTAATTGATTTTGATAAAAAAAAAAAAAAAGTTCTTAGGGTTTGTTTCTTTACCAAAAATAATTTCTAACAATTTTATTTTATTTTTTTTAAAAAAAAGTTAATATCAATTTCATATATTTTTCATCGATTTCCTTTTTTAAAAAAATCAACACAAACAAAATTCTTAAATGATATATATTTTTTTTTAATAAAATATGCAATTATAAAAAATAAATAAATTACAATTTGGTTTTTGCACCGCAAATTGCGCAAAAATCAATGATTAAAAGTGTATTTGCTTAAATATAAAATTTTATTTCGTACCATCTAATATACAATAAATTATTTTTCCTGTATTATAGTGTATAAGTTAAAATAAAATGAAATAATTTTGTTCATATAAATGCTTCTACCTTTTCTCATCTGATCTGTTAAGATACAAAAATTGAATAAAATCTATTTAGGTCTATAAGTATTATAAATAAATAAATAAAAATCCATAAATGAGCCATACTTGTCCGCCCTTCCTGACTCTTGACTGTGTTGGCAATGGCAGATTTATCTATAAGCAAAATTGCAAATTCAAGTATTCAACAGCACCCCATTTTTTATAACAAAAAATAAAATAAATAAAGTCCAGCTCCATTAAATGAGCAAATTAATAATCACGTTTGTTTCTTAATTCTGCCATCAAATCTAAACTAACAATCAAACAGCACAGATGATGTGAAAATAGAATCCCACCACTGTATGTATATAAGAAATTACACACATTTCCTTCTCTAGGCCTCATTTCATTTCTCTCACTTACTTAGAGTGAGAGAGAGAGAGAGAGAGAGGAAAGGGAACAGAAAAGTTTACTTGTTGGTTTGGAGAGGGGGCCCCTTCTTGTTCAATTCTCTGGTCCCTCCCTCTCTCTCTCTCTCTCTCTACTTTCCTTTCTTCCCTCTATTCTGTTGATTTCTTCTTCCTTAATCCATGCTCCCTGAAAAACACAGCCAAAGAAAGTGAATTAAGCAGAGAGAGAGAGAGAGAGAGAGAGAGAGAGAGAGAGAGAGAGAGAGAGAGAGAGAGAGAGAGAGAGAGAGAGAGAGAGAGAGAGAGGGAGGAGGGGAAACAGTATCATCATATACAGGAGGGTTTCACAGATCCATCAAAGATTCAAGATCCATCTCAGGTTTCTACCAAAGATCAAAGTTTTTGATCTGAAATTTCTAGAAGCAATCAAGTTTCTGGGGTGGGTAGTTGGGGGCAAATTTAGGGAACTTCCATAGATTCTTGAAACCCTCAAATATCTACAAAGTTCTTGAAGTGAGAAAAAAAAAAAAGAGAAGAAAGAATGGCAACAATTGAAATGGAGAGTGTTGTGCAACAGTGTGTGTCTTCTTCATTAGATGGGGGGGTGGTTGAGGATGAAGAGATCCACTCATACCCTCATCATAACAGTAACAAAAATAATCATCATCATCATCATCATCACCATTACTCTTCAAAGCCTAGAAATTCTGGGATCTACCCTCCCCCTCCCCCTAATGTCCATGAATTGCTGGAATGTCCTGTCTGCACTAACTCTATGTATCCACCAATCCATCAGGTAAAATTTACTTATGAACTTATGATATTATCTCTTTCCTAATTACTAATGGAATGAAATCATGAATCAATCAATGTTCTTAGTAGTTTCTATTACATTTTTACAGAATTTCAGAATCACATATTAATAATGAAATCATGATCTATGAAAAGGTGTTATGCATATTTGATAGACTCAAACAATAACAGTTCGATCTAATGGATATAATCAAATAATAACGACATAATCCAAATAATAAAAATCTAATCTAAATCATAAACTAGAGTTTCTAATAGCTTATGACCTTTTGCATACCAAAGCTATAATCTATGGTGTTAAAAATATGGTTTTGTGATATCTGTAGTGCCACAATGGACACACTCTATGTTCGACTTGCAAGACAAGGGTGCACAATCGATGTCCTACATGTCGACAAGAGCTTGGTGATATCAGGTGTTTAGCACTAGAAAAGGTTGCAGAGTCACTAGAGCTACCTTGCAAGTACATGTCTATGGGCTGCACAGAAATCTTTCCATATTACAGCAAACTCAAACATGAAGCAGTGTGCGATTTTCGACCCTACAGCTGTCCTTATGCCGGTTCAGAGTGTCTAGTTACAGGGGACATAGCTTTTCTAGTGGCCCATTTGAGGGACGATCACAAAGTGGATATGCACAGCGGCTCCACCTTCAATCATCGCTATGTTAAGTCGAATCCTAGAGAAGTCGAGAATGCTACATGGATGCTAACTGTGAGTTCTAAATATGTTGGCATTGCATCACTATGATTATGAGTAGCCTAAGTATACTATGTTATGCTAATGTTCTTTTTCGTCGCCTAGGTTTTCCATTGTTTTGGGCAGTACTTCTGCCTTCACTTTGAGGCATTTCAGCTAGGTATGGCCCCGGTTTACATGGCATTTCTACGTTTCATGGGTGATGAGACCGAAGCACGCAACTACAGCTATAGTTTAGAGGTCGGAGGAAATGGCCGAAAGCTCATATGGGAAGGCACACCAAGAAGTATAAGGGATAGCCACCGTAAGGTGAGGGATAGTCACGATGGACTTATCATCCAACGCAACATGGCGCTATTCTTCTCTGGGAACGACAGGAAGGAGCTTAAGCTTAGAGTTACGGGTAGAATTTGGAAGGAACAGCAAAGTCAAGATTCCGGGGTGTCCATACCAAGCATTTGTATCTAAGCAAGAAGTTAATTTGGGTTATAACCTATTCTGTCTATGGCTTCCTAATTTGTGTGGTTGTGTGTCTCTTAAGACCTGTAAGAATGTGTGTATCCAAAACATTCCACTTGCTAAGTACCAAATTGCCCATTGCCACCTTCAATTTCCAAAAATTTTCGATTTGTTTAGATATATAGCAAATGCTAACCACATCATTCCCACCAAATTTTTCTAAGGCCACATAATATAGCAAGGAAGCTGATAGAACATAGGGAAAAACGAAAACAATAAACTTTATTCTTGATGCAAAGAATAAACCAGCAAAGACAATAACATTATTCCTAATGCGAAGAATAAACCAGCAGAGAAAAACCAATTCTTCCTGCTACCAAGTCGAAGCAACCTAATGAGAAAACCCTTATATATATTTAAGATAGATGGACCCTTGTAGATATGAGCTCATTTATATTATGGACTCAAGAACATTAAATAAACTCAAAATTAAATTAAAATAAAATTAAAAAAAAAGCTCATTCTAGAGTCATCAACCCTGATCAACCTCAAGTGAATTTGGTTTTTCTTAATTCTTTTCTCGTTTAACATAAACTTAAGGTCGTCAGACCTCATATTATAAGCACAGGAAAACTGCAACCATAATACTGGAACTTATATAAATGATATCACAAGGTTAACATCAGAAGTGCATCAATGGCTGCTACTCATCCTTAATACCATGGCTAGCATGCTATAATCAGATGGAAATGCATAATATTTCGGGTATCACATATAAAGTAGTTATCATTTCAACGCAACAATTTGTTCTATGTTTACCACATCAAGCCGCTCCTTGCTTGCTTACAACACTACCCTCAATTTCAGCTGCTCCATCCTTCCCAGGCAGCGTTTCTTCGTCCAAAGAAGCAGAGGTGGCTGCAGTATCTTCGGTAGATTCTTCTGCTTCTTCTGACTTCTTGTTCTCGTTATTCAACAACTTGGAAGGCAGCAAAGAAGCAACTGCAGCCTTGGCATTGGCCTTGGCTCGTTCAGCTTCTTCAGCAGCTTTAGCTGCAGCCTCAGCCTTCTCCTTTTCAATGGTCGATCTAATATTTGTAAACTCATCTTCACGCCCTTCCTTTCTCAACCATTCTCTGACGAACTCCTCCAGTTCCTCAGTGAAATCATTTGGATCCTCCCTCAACATTCCATCAACAATTTTCAGCACTTCGTCATGCTTCCCAGCTTCAAACAATGCCTTCATGATGCACTTGTATGCATCATCGTTCATCCTCAGTTTAGGCAACATCATTTCAAAGAAAAACTTCGCCTCATCAACCTTACCAACATCAATCAACCCCTCAATCAATCTATTATAGACTGCCATGTTTGGTCTCAGCTTCGACTCAACCATAGTCTTGAAGTAGTGAGCTGCATCGTCTGTTCTATTCTCCTGTAAGCAAGTATCCATTAGAACAGTAAAGGTGTACTCGTCCGGGCTTACATTCTTATCAGCCATTCCTTTGTACAGATTCTCTGCCTCAACAAACATTTCATTTCTACATAACTGATCGATCAGCACATTGTATGATAAAGTATCGGGACTGCACCTTTTCTCCCCCATACTATTGAAAACTTCAATGGCCTCACTATATCTATTCTCTGCACAATACCCATCAACGATAATATTGTAACTTCCCAAGTTTACAGTCAGTTTTCTAGGAGGATCATGGACAGTCTTCATCTTCTCGAACAGATTCAGCGCCTCGTCAAGCTTCCCATTCTTGCACAAAGCCTCTAAAATATAATTATAGGCGACTGCATTCATAGTAACAGTCGAATCCTCACCCACAACCCTCCTGTAACACTCCATTGCCTCTGTTTCCATTCCTTTCAAGAAGTATCCTTTCATCAAATTCCCATAAACCACGCCATCCAATATCTTATCTGTTTCCATTTTCTGTTCCAACTCCTCATACAACTCAAAAACCCCTTCTGCGTTCGAATTCTTTGCTTGCCCCAACATCAAATAGGCATAAACAGTAGGATCCGGCTTAAAACCCTTCCCTGCCATTTCATCCTTAATCTCAATTGCCTTTTCAACTAGCTGATTGTCCACAAGCCCCTTGATCAGAATTCTGTAAGTGCTGAGGGAGGGATTGAATGGAGCATCGTTAATTAACTGCTTGTATTGCTCCAGAGCCAAATCAGTTTTCCGGCAGTCGAGATAGACATTGAGGAGGAGATTGTGCGTAACGACATTTGCAGCAACGCCAGCTTGTGTAATGAACCTGTGAAGTGAGAGGAGCTCAGCATACTTACCCTGCCGCAGCTGCGCCGCCATTACTGCATTGCACGTGTAAATCGTCGGTCGGCAATTAGAGTATATCGAGTGGCGAGTGAGCAACGCGGCCTCTTCGAGATCGTTCTCACGGATGAGCTTGAGGATACGGTTATGGAGGTTGAGGCGGTTGCCGGAAAGTGCAGATACCGGTTCTGGGAGCTTAGGAGCGTTAGGATTTTGGGGTGCAGGCGTCGGAGTCGGGCGAGGCTGCTGCTGTTGTCGGAGGGAGGAGAGTGGGGGCTCGATACGAAGACGGCGCTTCCGTTTGCGACGCTCGGCGGCAGCTTCTTCAGGCGTGGCAAATGAGAAGAATCGAACAGGAAGGAAGGTCCTCGGCGGCGGCGCGTGCGGCGATAAACGGCCGGATTTCGCTAGGGTTTTGGCCAAGTGATTGAACAGTGAAGGCTTGGAAAGCGCCATAGCTGACCTTCGAGGGTTTACTGCAAAAGAGGGTTTTACATAAACTGTTTTTATTTATTTTCTTTTTTTTACTAATCTGGTAGAAAATTAGAAATTCAGATTTTTGGGCCCAATGGATCTGGCCCAAATTAATAGACTCAAATAACCCACTAATGCTTTGGACTCCTAAAAAACTATGTATTTTCAATTGTGAAGTGTTTTTTTTTTTTTTTTTTAATGTGGAAGTTCGCAGCCGCTACGTGGGTAAGTGAAGAGTTAGTTAGCCATTATCCGAAAATGTATGTGGCTGGTGGATTTGGAGGCATTGAGTTTGAATAATGAGTTCACAGTCATAAGTTCACTCTCTATACTATTATATATATATAAAGTACAAACATTAAAATATCAAAATTATTTTACGCATTTTTATTAACCAATAAAATATTATTACCTTTTAATCTATTATAAATATCCAAATAAATATTCTTATTTGGGAGGAAAGGAATACTATTTATAAAAATTATTTACTAAAAAATATATACTCTATTTGTACGTCAATTTTATATTCATTTTATTTAAAATTTGCATAGTATAAAATTGACTGAGGGATAAAATATTAAATGTTTTTTTCTCTAATACTGTGTTAAATACTTAAAATTTTTCACTATTCTAAGTACTTTTTAAAACTCCAAAATATTTTTTGAACCTTTATCTCAAGGAGCCAACAGAAATGTAAATTGTATTGTGTCTGTAAAGGGATACAATTCCGACCAAAGAGGGTATCTTTAGTAGTTAAACATCAGTGTCGATTCATAAATATATATATCCAAATAAAATTGGATATGACTTACAAAATGTCACTTTTAATACGATAAAATTAAATAAAATAAAAATGATAATTGTGGAGTGACATGTTGGCAGGGCAGCCATGGTATCATGACTTATCCAAAATTTCGTATTGATTTTGAATATATATATATACATATTTATATATAAAAAAAAAAGGATAAAATTTTATGAATTTCCAAATTTTATGAATTTTATGAATAGTTATCCTAAACCCTAAACCCATGTAAGCGACAGGTGTCCTACGAAAGCAATGGATTTGGAATCTTATGAATTAAATTAATTAATTAATTAGTGCAAAAGGGATGTGATTGTTATGTGAAAAGGTGACGCAGAGACTTTTGATTTTAATCAAAATGTAAAACGACGCCGTCTCGACGTGAAGTTATTAATCATTTCTCCACGCCTCGCATTTATTGTATTGAGGCTACCTAATACTCCTGTCCCACGCTGCAAATATTTATATATATATATATATTTTTTTTTGTCTCAAATTGAACGTAATATTTTTAAATTTAAAAATAATTAATAATATTTATATATATTAATATATATTTCATTTTATCCCATCAAATCACTTAAATAAAAAAATAAATAATTATTTCTCTCAAATTATATCACTTAATATCAAAATTATTTTAAATTACTATAATTAATATTCTCTACCTAAATTCTTGTGTCAAACACAAATATTGCACGATGTTTGAGACAGAACGAGGAGTATTAAATATGAATAAATTTTATATTAAAAAAAATAAAATTGTATTGTAGAAAGTATTCAATCCCATGGGTACATTTTACAACCTAAAGTACTAAAATGAGACTTTGGTTGTAGATTATCAATATTGTTCTGATAGAACAGTAATATATATATTAATATATTTCTTTTGTTTTGTGTTAAGATATATATTTACTATATAAGGGCCGAGTCCCGAGTTCTCCTAAGTTATCGTTTCCGTCGATTATATTTTTTGACCATATAGATTGTCTATCCGGTCTAATTTAAACAATTTTTATTAAGTCAATATTTTCATATTGATTAAATATGATTATTATTTTTTTGTTGTCTATTCCATTTAAAAGGATAAAAATGTTCCATCTTAGGGTAATTCTAACTCTACAATTGTATTTACTTTTTGCATAAAATTTAAAATATAAAAGTACTTCATTCTTCTGGCATATTTTGCAATAATTTTTCGATTTTAGTCCATCACATACCTGTAATATTTTAAAAATATGAAATAATTAATTACATTTTATCTAATTAACATCATTCAAATAAATAAATAAAATTTATATTTTTCTGTCTCATCATATCATCTAATTTTCACTTTATTTTATTTTATGCATTTAATATTTTTTTTATCCCTACTAATTTTTTATTATTATTATTATTTCTTTTTGTAGTAATTTAAAATGTTAACGTTTGATTAAGAAAAAATAAATAAAGAAAACATGTTTCCCTATTTTAGGTAACCCTAATTTGTCTATCATTAGTGTGGAAGAGTAGGCGGGACCGAGGCCACGCGCCACTGTGGACGGTGTATATACGCGCCACGCTTTCCAGGCAGGCTGCAGCCGCCAAACGCCGCCATGTAGACAAAAAGGAGAGCAGCACTGTACAAAAAGCACGATAAGGATCGGAATATTTAGTTCTGGAGAATTCAGGAGCAACAGCTAGAGCAGGAAGTGAAGAAAAAATTATTTGGAGTGATGCGTGATTTCAAAAATTGATTGGATAAGATGGAGGTAAATATCTGAGGTAATTCCAATAGACTTCAATCAGTTGCAAGCTGAATCCGAAAATATGATTTAATTAGACTCGCATCAAATCGTTGTTCTTCACTGTATGATTTCTCCATTTCATATCTCCATCAAGTAGCTGTTCATTTCTGGAAAACGACATGTTTGATAAACCTATGCGACTGCCAGTTGTATGCTGAAAAGTTTGATTGAGCTGATAATCACAAGGAATCTGAATCCAAATCTCGAATTAGAGCTCATTCGTGCGGGCGGATAATCATATGACAGGTCATACTGCATACTCTGCTTCATTCGTTGTTAATATCTCCATAAATACGAATTACTTTGGAATTATGGTTAATCAGTAGCCAACGTTGCTCTATCACTGCTTGTTGATGATTTCTGTGCTGATTTTGTCGTCATTTCCTTGTTCTTTACGTTTGCCTGCGAACGTAAATGTTCTAGAATTGGGGTTTAGGTTCGAAATTAGTATACAAACTAGAATCTGGTTTGAATCCTGTTTACCTATCTTGAACATAAACTTGTGGATTTTGATTATCATATACAATGTAATTTCGATTGATAATGAATGTATTATCTCTGCATAATCTGCTTGTTTGTTAACTCACTCACTTGATAACATTAGGAAGAAGAATCTGAAGAAGTTTTGAAGAAATGCCTCTACCCGATACAATTGCTGCAAATGTTCTTGATGATTGCTCTGTGTTCCCCGTGGAAGACATAGTGCAGTACCCTTTACCAGGATACAATGTGCCTACTTTGATTAGTTTTAGCCCCGATAATAGCTTGATATCATACTTGTTCAGTCCTGATCAAACATTAAGTAGGAATTTGTATGTGTTCGATCCCGAGACTGGGAAGCATGATCTGTATTTCAGCCCTCCAGACGGTGGTTTCGATGAGAATAATTTATCTGTAGAAGAGAAGTTGCGTAGGGAGAGGCTAAGAGAGCGTTGGTTAGGCTTGACACGCTACGAATGGGTAAAGTCGAGCCCGAAGAGAAAAAGAGTTATGGTGCCTCTACCAGCTGGGGTAAGTTCCCTAACATCTTGCTTTGTTTATGTGTTCATGGCATTCTAATATGGTGGAAGTTCAAACTTTGTTAGCTTATTGGATCCTTTTCGCCACAGAGTTTGTGATTATTGAAACCATAATCGTCATTTGGTGCTATTCGTAGTTTTTTCAAGTGTTTGTTACATTTTCTTATCTGCATCTAACTGTGTTTTTGCAGATATATATTCAAGAAAACTTCCTTAAACCGGAGCTTAAGCTCCAAAGCTTCGATTCCTCGCCAATTATCGATCCACATGTCTCTCCCGATGGCACCATGCTTGCATATGTGAGGGATAATGAGTTACATGTGTTAAACCTTCTAAACAATGTGTCGAAGCAGTTAACCTTCGGCGCCAAAGAGGGTGCTATTGTAAGCATTATACTATGTTTTTCTTCGATTTGTTTCTGTTCCCGTTACATATTCTTCATCTCTATCACGATTCAATTTGATCTAAATTGCTGCAATTTATATGTTTTCAGACACATGGACTTGCAGAGTTCATAGCACAGGTAAGTTTCTTCGAACCAGATTTCTTATCATCTCCATGTGTCGCTAACCGATCAATGAACTGATTTCTACCCTTAGGAGGAAATGGATCGGAAGAATGGATACTGGTGGTCGCTCGATAGCAAATTTATCGCGTTTACTGAGGTCGATTCGTCTGAAATACCTCTGTTCAGGATCATCCACGAGGGAAAAGATTCGGTAGGCCTCGATGCTTATGAAGACCACGCTTACCCTTTCGCCGGTGGTTCAAATGTTCGAGTTCATTTGGGGGTTATTTCTCCGGCCGGTGGATCGGTTGTTTGGATGGATTTGATCTGCGGAGGACAGCAACAGCTCGGCGACGACGATCACGAATATTTGGCAAGAGTGAACTGGATGAATGGCAACATTCTTACAGCTCAAGTCTTGAACAGAAGGCATACTAAGCTGAAGATCATCAGGTTCAACATCGAAACCGGTCGGGGGAACGTCGTATGGGTCGAGGAAAACGAAACGTGGATTGATTTACACGACTGCTACACCCCGTTGTACAAACTCCCGAATCGATCCTCCGGAGGCTTCATTTGGGCCAGCGAAAGAACCGGTTTCCGGCATCTGTATTTGCACGATTCCGATGGATCGTGTTTGGGGGCGATCACCGAAGGCGATTGGATGGTCGAGCAAGTCGCCGGCGTAAATGAAGTTTCCGGCGATGTTTACTTCACCGCGACTTTGGACAGCCCTTTGGAATCCCATCTTTATCGAACTAACTTATGTCTTGATCCTGATCAGCCGTTGCCGGCGCCGTCGAGGCTAACGAACGGAAAGGGAAAACACGTCGTGGTACTCGATCATCAGTTGAAGAGGTTTGTCGACATCCACGACTCCTTATGTTCGCCTCCAAAACTCACATTACGCTCATTGCTCAACGGGAGTTTAATCAGATCGTTCAACGAGCAGCCAGTCTACGTCCCGAGGTTTAATAAGCTCCCACTCGATCCACCGGAGATCGTTCACATCGCAGCCGAAGATGGAACTATCTTATACGGAGCTTTGTATAAACCTGACTCTGCAAAATTCGGTCCCCCGCCGTACCCAACGATGATCCATGTATACGGCGGCCCTAACGTACAACTCGTGTCCGATTCTTGGTCGAACACTGTCGACATGCGAGCGCAATATCTCCGAAGCAAAGGCATACTCGTTTGGAAGGTTCGATTGAATTTCACGTTAAATTTTTCGATGAGATGGTCATTTAATTCGATCATTTAACAGATGGACAACAGAGGAACGTCCCGACGGGGGCTAAAGTTCGGAGGCACAATCAAGCACAAGTGCGGGAAAGTCGACGCCGATGATCAATGCTGTGGGGCCGAATGGCTCGTTGAGCACGTGCTGGCGAAGCCGGGCCACATCGGATTATACGGGTGGAGCTATGGCGGGTACCTGTCGGCGATGTTGCTGGCGAGGTTTCCGGAGGTTTTCCGGTGCGCGGTGGCGGGAGCGCCGGTGACGTCGTGGGACGGGTACGATTCGTTCTATACGGAGAAGTACATGGGGGTGGCGGAGGAGAACGAGCGGGGATATGTGGAGGGGGCGGTGATGAGTCACGTGGGGAAGATGAGGGAGGAAGGAGGGCTGTTGTTGGTGCATGGGATGATTGATGAGAATGTGCATTTCCGGCACACGGCGAGGCTGGTGAACGCGCTGGTGGCCGCCGGAAAGCCGTACGAGCTGCTGGTGTTTCCCGACGAGCGGCACGTGCCTCGCCGGCGGAGGGATCGGGTGTACATGGAGAATAGGATATGGGAATTCATCCGGCGGAACTTGTAAGTCTTTCTGACCTTGCCTTGAATTTTATTTTATTGTTTTAATGTGCATTTATTTGCCTGTTATGCTAAATTTGATTATTATTATTATTATTATTATTATTATTATTATTTTGTAATATATTCATATGTATATATGTTTTATTTTATTTATTAATTATTAATAATTATATATTTTTTGTTTGTATTTTTTAAAACAAAAATTAATATATATAATTAAACAATATAAAATATATTTAAATATTTTAAATTTTCAATAAAAATATATACAATATAAATATATTTTATAAAGAATAAAATTTAATATAATACAAATAAATTACAAAATTATTATATGTTTTTATGACGTGGAAATCCGCAGTCGTTACCCGAAAGTGCGCAAATCATGTGTGACATGTGACTTGAGGCGTCGGAGGTTTGAACCCATGACGTCACAATCACTAGTCCAACCCCACACCACCGGTCATCCCTTACGAGACTTTTTTTCAATTTTTTATAATGTGGGAACTCGTGCCACTGGATAAACGGGTAAACTCCAGCCCATGTATAGCAGATGGACCAGGACAAAATAAAAGAATTTTTTAGTGGATTTTATCGATAATAAATGAAGAATTTAATTAAATTAATTTATATTTTTTAAATATATTTAAAATAGATAAATTTATTAAAAATAAGAACATATCAAATTATGAGACAACTTAAAAAAAAAAAAAAAAAAAAACATGTTATATATTGAAAATATGATTTGGTTGATGGTTTAATTATTGAAAATAAATTTAAAATATATATTAAGTAATTTTAAAAACTATAATAATAAATAAATTTGATGTGAGTATTATAATTGAAGTCTAATGTCAACCAAGCACATCTTTAATTTCCAACCAACGGCTAGTCGGACTTAAATAATGCAAACAAAAGTTCAGACTCAATTTTTTGAAATTATTTCTAAGTTCGAATTTTATAATAAATTTTGACAGTAAAATAATGGAAAAAATAATTTTCGAAAGGCCCCAAATCTCTTCTTAACCACCTGTCTTCAATGGCCATTGACTTGTCCTATTTTTACATTATTGTAATTTTAAGATTAGGTTTTTTAAATATTCAAAATATTATATTTAATTTGTTTTTTATTTTTAATTAAACTATTCAAAACACAATAAATAAGTAATATTAAAAAAAAAAATGTGTAGGGTATATTTCTTCGTTCTAATTACTCAACCAAGAAATGTAAGCCATTGTTGACTAGAAGTTTGACAATTAAATTAGTCCCATTGATCAGACCAAGATTTGCCTATAATATAAATTTATTTTAAATTTCACTTAAAAAATATTTATTTATTTATTCATATATAATATCTTTGCCAATCTGTGTGTTAATCGAATCACGTGGTCACATTATTATTGGCATTTAATTTTTGCCAAAATAAATACTAAAGTCCCCACCGACAGTATGCTATTCAACCTACTCAAATTTAATTGGGACAAAATTAACCTTATGTTTTATAGACTCCGTTTAGCTTTTTGAGGTTTGAGTTTCGAAAATAATAAAATATTGAATATATAATTATGTGATATTTTATAAAATTTAAAAATATATTTGATATCATATTTTTTTGGAAAAAAAAAAAGAAATTACTTTTAAGAAATGCTGTAGTATACAATTTTCAAAACTATATTATAGGTAAATAGAGCTTGGGCTATGTTTCTTTTTCTGATTGGATTTCATTTGAATATTTAAATTTTTTATTCAGATAAATTATATATATATATATATAAATATATAATTTTTTAACAAGTTAAGAGTGTGGAAACTAGAAAAGGATTGTGTTTCTTTTGGTTTTTTCTTTTACATTTCTTTTTTTAAAAAAAAAAATATGCATTATACATATTCACTATTTTTATATTAAATATACAATTTAATTAACTTCACATGACATAAAAAAGTATATCTTTAAATTATTTCACAAAATAAAAACACACTTGATAATCTATTAGACTAAAAGAATGTATTTTTATCAATAAACATAAAGTCCAAAAACATGTGTGTGTTTTTTGATGAGTTTGGAAAAAAATTGGTTTAAATTTGGCATGAAAATAATCAGGGCTGTCTCGGACTTTTTTTAGACCTTAAGCGAAAATAAATTATAGGTCCTACAAATACATAATTAAAATGTATTTTTAATAATATTACTGATTGGTGTTGGATAAGAAGTTGAACGTGACCGTCTGGACAATGTCAATTGAGAAAAGAAGATGAAAGACGGTCTGTCTGAAAGTTCGAAAAACAAGGACTGAAAGAGGGTGAAAGATATAAGAAAAAAGATGAGGCAAGTTTGATCGAGTTGCTGCAGACAATACAATAAGGTGTAAGTTAAAGAAGTGTAGAAAAATTAGAAAGAATATATATATATATGATTAGAAATTAAAATTTAATTTTAAAATTAAATGGGATAATTATGAAGAAAAAAACTATAAATTTAATATAAGTCTTTTATGAGCCACCCCTAAAATAATGTTTGATGGAATATTTTGTGACAGAAAAAAATATATTTTTTTTAAAACGCAAAATTCAAATAATAAAATTTGGCTAAAGAAACATAGGAGAGAAAAAATATGAATAAATAAATAAATAAACACCCTTATTTTGATGATTTGAAATGATATCCAATTCTTAAGTACATTTTTACTTTGGATTTAGCATTGGTACTTCAGATAGATCCCATTCTGAATTCAAATTTTACTTACGGATTTAGCATTGGTACTTCAATAGATCCCATTCAGAATTCAATAATTCAGCATAGTTGAATTTAATTACGACCACTGATTAAAAAAATATTACTTCCGTTCGGCTCTAAGGATCCCATTTACTTTTTGCGTATTGATATTTGAATATTAATTATTATATCAAAATCGTAGTACAAATTAAAAAAAAAAATACAAACAATACTTTCATTAGTGTCTTGTAATACTAATGACATTTATACGAATAATTATACAAATATAAAAATATTATTAATGTTAAATACAAAAAGTAAATATAACTTTTAAAGGATAACGAAGAAAATATTCAAATAGACTAAATTGTTCTTATTTAATCAATTATTACTATTAATTCACTCCATGCCAAATTAATTTTTCCCATCAGCATGTGATCCAAAACCTCGATCACTTAACTATAAACACAAGAAATTGCTCTAACTACATTATTACAACCTTCAATTCAACAACACATTTCAAACACAACAACCAAAACCTATACAAACACAATATAGATATACATACACATACATACATATATATCTCATGTTGTGAGGCCAGCTAGGAATGCGACGCCGGTCGCCGGCAGCCACGCCGACCCGAAAATAAACTGCGCCACCGTGAACTTACTCGCCTCGTCGACAGAGGTGATCACCCGATACCCGGGCCAATTGACGCGCTGCCCGACCGCCCCCCCGGGTCCGTAGTTCATATACTCCCCATAATACAACGTGTCGAGCGCAAATGTCGCGTTCCACTCGAGCCACCCCCGGGGGTGGACGTGGTCGCCGACGTACGACTGCATGTACACCACCCGGGAGTAGAGCTTCCACGGCCGCCCGAGGTAGGTCGGGTAGGCCCCCCGGGCGGCCTCGAGGTCGTACTCCGCGACGACGCGGCAGGCGTGGATCGAGATCCCGGTGTTCTGGTTCGGGTCCTTGCGGTTCTGCGCCGTGATCGTGTTCTTCTGGAACGGCATTGGCTTCCGCGCATGGATCGAACAGTTTTGGAACACGACGGCCGCATTGCCGAAGATGAAGTCGACGGTGCCGTAGACGTCACACTCGCGGTAGAATTGTCGTTGCGAGTGCGCGTAGAGCGTGTCCTGGTAGCCGATCACGTTGCATCGGTAGATCACCGCGTGGTCGGCCCCGACCCGGAGGGCGACGGCTTGGTGTTTTGCCGGTCCGGCCGAGTTTTCGAAGGTTAAGTCCCTTGCAATGAAGCCGGCGCCAGTTGCAGCTACATATATATTATTTTTTCTTATAAAATATTGCATTTAAATCATTGTTATAACTCATTAAAATAAAATAAAAATAAAATATTTTTAGCATCACATCAAATATATTATTTAAACAAAAATTTAAACCAAACAGCTCATTTCAAATCAATTTTATTGCAATGAATTAAACTAAAACTTTATCTAGTCGAATTTGGACAATCTTGTTTCAAGCTCCTTTTCGAATTTTATCTCCACTTAACATCGGAAAAAATAGTCTATCTCAAAATTTCGAATTTATAACGTGTAAAAATATTTGCAATATTTCTTTAAATTTATCCGTTTTTCTTCTTATTTGTCTAAATACATTTTTTAAAAAAATAATTAAATAGTGCTGTTTAAAAAAATAACAAATTATTTACTCATATCTCAAATTTACCCCATTCTTAAATGGATAAATTTTAATCCCCAATTCATCAAATTAGTTTAATTTTTATCTTTAATTATCAATTCCATTAAAATTTTAACAATGATAATATACGTAAATATTTCAATAGAGTTAATAAGTAAAGACTAAATTAAAATTGAATTATTTAATAATTAAAATATCAAAATTGTCAATTTAGAATCGAGAAAACTAAATAATATGAGTAACACTTAGTGTGCTTGTATCCACTGTTCATCCCTTTTTTTTTCTCCCAAAAACATCAAATCAAACACCTATTTATTATTTTTTATATTATACAATTTTACATTCAAAACTTCACGTCAACACCTGTTTATATCACATGATGCAACGGTTCAAATTCAAAATTTTTTACTATTCAAATCTAACTCAAAATTCAAACCCCCAAACAAACACACCCTTAATAAAAAACAATAAAAAATATACTTTCCCTCAATAAAATTATTCCAAAAAAAACTATATTCAGTCTAAAACCTAGTGTAAAAAGTAACTTTATCAAATATATATATATATATGACACATCAATCAAATAATTAGTTTCTCTTATAAAATACCATACTCCCTCCATCCACAGACTAATGTACTACTTTTTTTATTTGGGACGTCTAACAACTATGGTCCTATTTCATTTTTTTAAACACAAATTTTACATTTTTACCTTTCATTTATTTATTACTTTTCATCTTTACCATACAATTAAAGGCAAATTTGTCAATTCATAACAAAAAGACAATTACCTAAAAAACCGTGTAAATATAGTTTAGGATAATAGAAATTGAACGTAGTCATGATTTTTAAAATTTTTCAAAAACCGAGTCTAAACTTTCAAAATAGTTCGACTCAGGTACAGTAACTTAAAAATTAATTGCAAGAGAAAGCTGTGTCGTCCAGTTAATGATAGAGACATAAAAGGCATGTAATGTAATGAACTGTTGTGTGTTTGAAAAACAAGGATCATAAAATTATTCTAAAATTCAAGTGGCCAATTAATGAATGTAATGGAAATGAAGTAATAGAAAGCTGGATGTGGATCATCATGGTAGTCCCCATTTACAGTTTAGGATCTTAAAACTATATATGTCCCACCAAGAATGACCAAGAATTATGATAATGCAAATTTAAATGTGAATGTGACACACCCTTTACAATATACCAACTAAATTCAAATCCCAATCAACCAATTTAGTCACAAGATCCTAGAATTAGACTGTTCGTTCATTTAAATGATCTAATACCCTAAATGATTCCCCAAGAAAATAAAAAGTTCCCTCTCATCTTCCTCCAACCTCCACTCTCCAAATTCAAAGGGCAATTTAATCATTTGATTCAATTTAGTGACAAGATCCTAAAACTATAGTGTTTATTTAAAGGGCAAGCTGATCACTTGATTCAAATTTAGTGACAAAGTCCAAGAACTAGACAGTTTATTTAAATGCTCTAATTAACTAAATGATTGCCCTCATCTTCTGATCAAGAAAATTTTAAAGCTCCCTCTGATCTTCCCTCCAACCTCCACTCACCAAATTAAACAATTATAAGTGTTTTAACAAGTGCAATACAGCCATGAAAGCTCCAGCAGAAAGGGACAGACACTCAAGACAAATAATATGAAAGCCCACAAGAAATTAAAACCTGTTCTAATTAAGGACAACAACTTGCAGGAAATTTCCTCAGCATCCTATGTTTAAGGTGGTTCTTTATTTATAGATTTGATCATATGGATACCTTATCTATACTCAGGTTCAAAATCCATTTATTAAATTCAAATTATTCAAGAACCCTTGTAATAATTTTGTCAGAGGGATTCTGAGATTAATTTACTGTAATGGTTTCCAGTGTATAGTGATGATGGGCAGACAAGAAATTACCTAATCAGATAGCCACGTGCATGTTTTTATGTGTACATGAAAATCCAAACAGCCCATTGTTTTCGATTAAACAATAGGTTTAAAATCAAATTGGGAAGAAACGAAGAGTTCATGTAATGGAAAAGAAAGTATATTAAAATAATTTGAAAGGGGAAAAAATAAAGGAAGAAATGATCAAAAGGGGGAAAGAAATTTACCGAAAGTGGCAGTATGGAATGTCGTCATGTTATCTTGGATACTTTTGCTGCCTGAAATTACTGTCTTGCCCTTCCCATCCCCAAATATCATTACATTCGTTTTCTTCCTCCCCACCTTCAGTATGTCCTCCACGTACCTGCAATTTTAAGGCATTAGAATCTTTTTTTCTTTTTTTTTTTGTTTATTTACCAATTTTTCTGCTCAATTTGATGTTTTTTTTTTTCAAGTACTAAGGGAAAAGAAAAATAAACGAAGATAGCAACATTGTAATTACACACAAAATGATTAAATTTGGGTCAAGAATTTCGAAATAATTACATGTACATGCATGGATATGCTATAAAGATAATCAATATATATTTATACATCTCATCATATTTATAATTCAACATAAATTATATTATAACTTATCATAACACAACATATGCTGCGATATGTATAAATATACGTGATAACCCTGATGACATATGTATATGAACATATATTGGTCACCGACATAGCATAGCTCTGGTCAAATCGGAATCATTACTAGGCGGATTAGCACATAATCTGCAAAATAATTTGAAGGCTTATATAGACGGATTAATAATAATAAATTAGGATAGATGAATTAAGGTAATTTGATCTTTTAAAAAATTCAACTCTAATGGCAATTATAGTTGATTTTGAACTAATTGTTAACTCTGAAAGTGATTGTGCATTTGCAGGGGCATAAACGTAATTTTAAGTTGTAAAGAAGCGGCAGTTAGGAAGGTAAGCTCTAATGGCGGACAGTAGGCGAGGTACACGTGAAGCTTACCTTCCTGCCTTCACGTAGATAATGAATCGCCGAGTTCCGTTCACCGGCGCCTTTTTTATCGCCTCCGTGATCGTTTTGCAGGTTCCGTTTCCGTCGCCGGACACAATTACATCTGGATTCATCGCCGACGCCGGCGCATCCAGCAGCATTCTATCCCAGCGGGATAACCACGTCGGAAACTGGTGGACGACGTTCTTATCCTTCTCTTTGCTCAGTAACCGCCTCCGTCGCCGATTTTGTATCGGAACGCCGGAGAAATCACTGTTTCCTCCGGCGGCGGCGTATATAGCGAGGCAATTGCTCACGAGCTCCGACAAATCCTTCAATCGATCCGACATTTGAGCCTTCACGTAGCCGTTCAGTTGATCGAAGCCTTCAGTGCAGGTATCGTGGTTCGTTAACGAGGCGCTTAGCCAGGTTAACACATCCTGAGTCGAACCGCCGCCGCCGGCGACGGAGGTAAGCGAACGTGAGAGGAGATCCACCGAATCGTCTAGTAGCTCGATGCAGTCCTCGTACGCCGAACTGAGACGAAAAAGTTCCAAAAAAAAATCAAAATCCATGGAAATCCTCGAGGAAGAAGAAATATCTCAACATTTTGAAATTAACTTCGCTCACCGGACGTGAGGATCCATATCGAGATTGCTAATCTCGGAGGCGGAGTACAGCGCGCGGCCGACTTTCTGGAGAGTCACATTAACCGAAATGTGGACGAGGTCTCTCTCGGAGGCGGCGGCGGCGCCGGGGAAGTCGAGCAGCGATTCAACGCAGAGATTCGGAAACCTAGTCCGGCCGCAAGCTCTCGCCATGGCTTGGGATGGACGGCGGCTATGAAGCCTAACTCCTCCGTCTTCCGCACCATTCCTCTTCCTTAAAACAGCCACCGCCGCCGCCGCCGCAGCGGACGTCAGTAGCAGCGCGGCGGCGAGGGCAAGAAGAATCCTGAGTTTGGATTTTTTGGGAGTGCGGTTCGTCGCAGTAGTAAAAGCTAGGCTCGGAGAGCCATCGTTAGGCTCGGTTTTTCCGAGCCTGCCGTACTCCATAGCTACAGAAATATTAGGGAGCGTTTGGGCGAAGAAAATTAAGATAGAGAGAAAGACGAAGGGGCAAGCATATATGTAGCAGAACGTGTCAGCGATTGGAGCGGACGCCAAACAGGGAAATATATGAAATAGTGTTGGGAATTTGAAAGGTCCCAGGACTGGAGATCCAGGAACAGGTCAAGTAAACGATTAGCTGGACTCTATTGGGAAATGAGAATTGTTTGCTTGGTGTAGGGCATAATGGTAATTATGAGGTATGGTGTCTCTTTCATTTTTTAATATTTTTTTTTTTTTAACTTTAATTTAATTGCCTGGCTAAAAATGTGAGCTGAGCTTTAAAATTTTAAAATAATAAGAAAAATATATATATATTTTTAATAAATATCAAATAATAGATGAAGTAGGTTGCACTGGGCATATGAATCAAATGAATGAGCTTCAACTCGCTATAAAGATTACTCACTTTTGTCTACTATGTATACAATTACTTTTGATATAAAAATTTTAAAATATTATATTTAAATTATTATGTATGACTACATTTTATCTATAAAGCCTTTTTTATCTTTGTGTTTTAAATTTATTTAATAATATAAGTATGAATTTGAAAGTATATTTATAATGTACAGTATGAATTAAATTTATTTAAAATAAATATTTTTCAAATGAATTGTCTTTTTTTTTTTTTTTCAAAATATTGTTACGTTTCTTATTTAGTAACTGCAATTTTTTTAGCTATATAACAAAACTACCTTTAATTTTCTACAATATTTATACAAATATCACAATAATTATCTAAAATAAGAATAATTTGATTATATCTATTTTACTTATATATTCACTTTTATTTAATATTATTATTTTTTATTAAATCTCATGCATACTCTGAATGAGACATCTCTTTTAGGATTAAGGAAATATAAAAATTAATATGATTTATAAATGAAATATCTGTAAGTTTGATGGATGGATAAAGTATTATTAAAATAGATAATTAAAATTTGAATCTCGCCAAATGTATTCTAAACTTTTATACTATTTTCGTCTCATAAGAACAATATTATTTATTTTTGCATCATTACACTTAACAATAAAAATATTTTTATATTTGTACAATTTATTTCACAGATATCACTATATTTATATTATAAGAAATTAATAGATATATTTTTATTATTTTTTATTTATATTTCATAAATATAATAATTAATATTTAAATATCTAAATACAAAAAGTGTAGTCTTCTCATAAAAGGTAGAATATATAAATTATTGAAATGCATTATTCAATAATATTATTGAACTATTCATTCAATACAACACCCACGAAAAAAGCGAATTAAATATGATGCTTAAATATCTGGCCAAATTTACATGAAACAGTATATATTTTTATTAAAAAATATGAGTATTTTTTTATTATAAATAATATAAGAGATAAAAGATGAAGTGTGTTTGTTTGGGGGATTAGATTAGATTTTGCTATTCATCTCTTTTTTTTTTCTCCAAATATATCAAATCAAACACCTATTTTTTATGTTTTATATTATATTAAAAATCAATTTTATATTCAAAATATCACATCAACGCCTATTTATATCACATCATACAACTATTCAAATTCAAAATTTTTACTATTCAAATTCCAACTTAAAATCCAATCCTCAAACAAACAAACACTTTAGAGTATTTTTTTGTAAACAGTTATTGAGTCAATATTTTATATGGAAATAATGTGATAGTAGCTTTACAGTTTTAATAAAAAATAGTACTCCTCCCTCGTGTTCACGTTGCCGTTTCAATCCGTCTCACATTTCATGTCGATTACATACTTTAATTTTATTTTAAACTTTTTAATTTATTTTTTGTAATATTAATTAAAGTAATTAGTTATTTTAATCTTAATTTATAATTATTTATATTATAAGATAATTATTTTCACTAATACATTTTTAATTATCTACTAATTACACCCCTCCTAAAATACCGTGTCTACAGGGTAGCAGACACGATATGTGAGACGAATAGAGTATATTTTTTTCATTTGCCGGTCACATTTAACTTTTTATGTTATTATACTTAATATTAAAAATATTTTTATATTTGTATTATTTTTTATATAAATATTTTTTTATTGGTATTATAAGACACTAATATAAATATTTTTGTAATTTTTTTATTAATTTGTACTATGTTTTGATATAATAATTAATATTAAAAAATAACACACAAAAAGTAAATAAGAACCTTAGAGCCGAACATAAGTAGTATTATTTTTTCTCATAAAATACTAAATTAAACATGACATTAAAGAATCAATTATTAGTAGTGTTACTATTATTATTATTTCCTAATTAATGATGTCTAATGAAATTCCAACATTGTTGAAATATGAACTTATTCTTTTGTTTTATATGTACATATATATATATTTCGATAAAATAGTTAATAAATAATACATATTGTATGGAAAAAGTTTATTTTTTATTTTTTATATATTTTTACTATGTAATTATTTTATTTTTAATTTTGGAAAAAAAGTAATGAGAAGAAGATGAAGAACACATAAGGTTTGTTCATTTTTTATTTTTAAATGAATAATTTTTGTAAGTAAATGAAATATTATTATTTCCATTTTGGATTTGTCCAAATTAGTATCTTTTTCACTAAATATGAGCTTTATTTATTTTTACAAATATTTTTTACTTCCACCACATTATTATTTAAAAATAAATAAAAATAAAAATATTTTTATATTACTTTTAACTGCACGCTACAATGAAAATAATATTATTTCTTAAACAATGTGCTAAAAAAATATATATAGTTTTAAAATTGAGGAAAGGATTATATATTATGTATGATGTGTCAATATATGAGTTTGTTTGTTCACTATTTTGATTTGAAGAAACTTTTTTTTTTAAGTATATAAAATCGTGTTGGTAATATGAAAAATAACATTTACATTCAAAAATATTCATTTTGTAAGGAAATAAAATATATATATATATAACAATTGATATATTTATATTTTGAGTAAACTTACTAAATAAAAAAATATTTAATAAAGATAAATCAACTTAACATATAAGTATAACATCATAAATAATGTAGAATTTATTCTAAATTTTATTTATTTCTATTTTTCTTCTAAAAAAAATAATTATTTTAATTTATATATAAAATTAACCTTTTTTATAAAATTAATTTATATTAATTATAAATAAATAAAATATATAGAATATATTATTATCTTCGAAATGATGTCCATTTATTTTTTATTATAATATTATTTTAAAAATATTTAAGTATATATTAATTTTATTTTTAAAATATCAATATATTAATTATATAAAAAATAATAAAATAATATCAGAATTTATTATTATTAATTAATTTAATTTAATTTTTTAAAATACAATATAAAATAAAAAAATGTCAACTATTTTAAGATTAAAAAAAAAATATTTTGTAGATTTTAAATAATATTTATAAAAAAAATTGTCAAATCCAATACTTTAATGATGGAAAAAATGAGACAAGGAGGGAATTATAGAATTGTACGGCCCTCAATATAATTCTTACCAAATCAATTTCAGGTCACATTTAATTATAATTATAATTATAATAATTACTATTACTAAGGTAGGGGACACTCACCCTACAAAACCTGGCCCCTAAACTATTGCCATCTTCATTTATTTTATTTTGTTTCTGTTTATATATACCTATTTGATTTTGATTTAAAATTTGGATGGTAATTTGAATTTAAATTTAAATAATTTTAATTTAATATTTTATAAAAAAATCTTTTTTCTTTTTATTAATAACCACAAAAGATAAATAGTAAAATCTTTATTTATAATAATAAAATAAACACAATCATATTTATTTTTTAAAAAATTGATATCATTAATTAGCGGTAGTTTTTTTTTTTCAAGAAAATATTATATCATACATATATATTTTTAAAAATTATAACATAAAATAATTTATTTTTTAATTATTTTAAAATTTCACAGAAATCCTATGCTTGAAAGTTTTTTTATGGAAGCCTTTGTTCACTTAATTGTTCGTTTCGCGGTTTGGATTTTGAGTGGTCATTTGAATAGTAAAAATTTTGAATTTGAATAGTTGTATGATGTGATATAAATAGACGTTGATGTGATATTTTGAATGTAAAATTGATTTTTAGTATAATATAAAAAATAATAAATAGGTGTTTGATTTGATATTTTTTGCGAGAAAAAATTGGATAAATAATGTAAATCCAATTCAATCCCCCAAACAAACACACCCTAAGTGGATTGATTTTACAATTCTAATATAAAATATTATTTTTAGGGTGGAGTATGTATGTATTATACTCCCTCCATCTCAATACAATAGTCATGTCTATAATTTTTGTCCGTTCCAAAACAATAATTTCATTTCCATAAATAATTATATCACTATAAAACTACCTTTATTTTTTTCATTATTATTACACAATTGACACTATTTTTTACACTAATACACTCACAAGAGCAAAAAAAACTTTTACTACGTACTTTTTACCCACTACCAATATCATATTAATATTCCTTAAATATTGTGTTAAACCCAACCCAGACTATAGTTATGGGACGGGAGGAGTATTTTTTAATGCAAAATGTGTATTAGTCTTATAAACTTATATCACATTTGTATCTAAAATATATAAAATATTATTATTTTTTAATAAACATACAAATAGTAAATAAATTTGTTTATTTCACTTATGGATGGAATATTTATTCTTTTTGCATTTTTTCAGTATTTACTATATAATTTTACTGTTTCTAATGATAACATATTAATTAATTTTTTTTTAATAAAGTGGAAACCATGATAACATATTAATCTTTAATATATAAATATATATATATATATATAACATTCAATCATTAATTTTTAAAATAATAATAACAACAACAATAAAAATCAAGACTTATAAAATCTAAAAAAGCACGTCAAGAGTTGCTCAAACTCAGTTTATTTGGGCTTAATGGCCCACTAAGTATATTGTTACA